AAAAAAAAAAAAATAAAATAAAGTCTCCTTTTTAAATTAAAATATACACTTAGACCCTGAAAACCAAAGATAAATAGAAAATCTTAAAATCAGCTTGAAAAAAATATACAGAGAGGAACAACAATATAAATTAATGCTGACGTCTCATCAAAGACAATGGAAATTTGAGAAGTGTAAGATGGTATATTTAAAGTTTGTTGTTGTTTTTATGTGATGTCAAGTTGGACCCAATTCATAGCAACCCCTCCTTGGATTTACAAGGTGGTATCACTACGGAAGTAGATTGCTCAACCTTCCTTCCAAGGAGTGGATGGTGGGTTTGAACCACCAGCCTTCGGTTAACAATCAAGTGCCTTAGGCACTACGCTACCAGAACTCCCTATTTGAAATTTAGAAAGTAAAAACTGTCAATCTCGAATACTACAGGCCAGTAATAATAACTTACATAAATGAAGGTGAAATAAAGACTTTTTAGATAAAGAAGTCTAACAGAGAAAAGTCTTTTGAAGATCTATACTAAAAGAAATGTTAAGAGAAATTCTTCAGACTGCAGATAAATGATAGCACGTAAAAACTTAAAATCATCAGGTAGAAATGAAGAGCAACAAAAGTGGTAACCAAAAACTAAAACCACTGCCACTGAGTTGATTCTGACTCATAGGGACCCCCTTTGGGTTTCTGAGGCTATAAATCTTTACAGAAGTAGACTGCCCCATCTTCCTTCCAGAGTGGCTGGTGGGGTTGAACTGCCAACCTTCTTGTTAGCAGTCAAATGAGGGTTTGAACTGCCAACCTTCTTGTTAGCAGTCAAATGCCTTAGGCAGGATGCCACCAGAGCTCTTAAAAAATGGTAAATAGGTAGGTAAATATAAAACACAAAATTTTCCCTCTGGATATATTTAAAATACACATAGTTGTTTAAACATCTGATAGCTAGGATAAATAATAAATCGTCCTCCAAAGTGATTTCTTCTTTCTTTTTCTCCCTTTCCTCAACATTGACAGAATAGTAAAGTACCTGTTTTAGTTTCAGAAAGAAATTTTCAGTAGTACTACGTTTGCTGAAGGGCCAGAATAATCTTTCATTAGGTGAGCAAACACGGACTTTAGTCTCTAGGAGAAATCGAACAGGCTCCTGTACTTCTGTAATTACCAAATCAACAGCTGTAGTCATAAACAGCACTTTATCTAGAGAAAAAGAGAGAGGGAAGAATTAAAAAGATGGAAATAGTCTTCCTCATGTGATTAATGTAAAAGTGATTACTTGTATCATAAATGTTAAATCTATCTTACGGCAAACCATCAAAAAAATAAAAATCTAAAATAATCAGACAAATCACTATTTTAAGAAAAAAAAAATTCCATATTAGGAATTATTTTCTTGGGTAGACTCTTAGAAGTGAATGTGTAAGTGACAGTGCTATATATTCTAAAGCCTATGAAATACACTGTCAGAATGCTTTCCAAAAATGGAATATGGTTTATACCACCCTTACTAATACTGGAAATTCTCAACATTTAAAATCCTGGTTAAAAATAGGATCTTTGATTTTTAAATTTTCTGATAACCACTAAGGCCAATTTTTCCTCATATTTATTAATCACTTTTGCGAATCTGTTTATATCCTTTATCCATGGTGTTATTAATAAGAAAACAATGAGAAGTAGGAAATAAATGCTCAGTAACAGAAACTACTGTTGTTATTATGTGCCATCAAGTCAGACCCAACTCATAACAGCCTCTCCTTGGGTTTCTGAGGCCGTATCATTATGGAATTAGATTGCCCAGTTAACCTTCCTTCTGAGGAGTGGAAGGCTGGTGGGTTTAGTTAAGCAAATACTGTTACATTTTCAGGATGAAATATTATGCATACATTAAATCACATTCATGAAGAATATAAAATATCTCAAGAAAGGTTACTTATACACAGAATATCTCTGAAAAACTGTGTAAAAAACTGGTAAAGGAGGGACCCTGGGACTGTGACAGACTTACTTTCCCTAGGCATTCTTCTCTAACTTTCATATTTTTAACCATATACACATGTATTAGCTTTACATTTATTTAAAATAAATTTGTAAGTCTCTAAATAAAGAGAGGAAGAAAATAGACAGGAAAGTCAAATGAAGAGAAGGAAAAGAAAAATAAGTAGGGAAAAATGGTAATTTGTTTACAGATCAAATTTATTAATGAAAAATGCATTATTCAAATTCTTTGTTTTCTCCATATTTAGGTAAGCACTGGATACTGATCAAAGAGTGGTCCTAGGATTTGATCATCTTCTTGGGGCTAAAATTTCTGTTCATGATGTCAGCAATGTGAATATTATTACTGAAAATGAATGCCACAGTTGGGTAAGTCAGAACCTTTAGGAGTTTCTTCATTTACAACTTGAAAATGGGGAGATTTTGGATTCCAGCTCCCAGTAATAACATAGGATTTTCCATCTGAACTTTTGCCCATAGATTCCTAGAGAAAAAAGAGTAACAACACAAGTTAATACCAAAGTGAGTAAAAGCTAACCCCTTTTTTGCTGCCTTTAAAAAACAGTTATGAAAAAAACCTCTCAAAAAAAAAAAAAAAGCAAGTCATTGCACTGCACAAGAGGAGAGGCAATAGAAGCTCCAGGGCTTTGAGGGGTCCCTATTAGGCCCCCAGGAAAAAAAGAATAGTTGTGAGAGGAGAAAAAAAAAAAAAAAAAAGAAAGATTAGTTTTTTAAAAAAAGCAAAGGTGCATGTGAATGATTACAGTTTAAATTAAAGATGTGCCAATTATTTATGCAACTGTCCCGAAAAGTTATTATTAAGTGAATACTTTTAAATTAAATCAAATTGTTCAAATTTTATGTTGAAATCTTCTGTCATGAGAACATCACTACATCATTTTTAGTTTTGCATATCGAGATTTTCATATAATAGCAATAATACTAATGCCACCTTATCATGTGTAAAGTAAATCAGAGTTTGCAAAGAATTCTCTCATAAATTTTTTCTTCTTTGATTCTCATAAACAAAGAATTATTACCACCACTACACAATCAAAATACTGAGGCTGGACTAAGTAGGTTAGTATTTATCCAAGATTAGAATAGTAAATAACAGAAATAAGGAAAGTTCTTTTATCTTTATATACTGCCTTATAGCTAAGAAAAACACATTAATAAATGCTATTTTATTCAGATGAAATAAAGTGTAATGACCTTTATTTAGGAAATATATAACTTTCCAGTGAAAAACCAATTCTTACCAAATCTAACAAGTGCATGTCGCTATTTCGTACATCTTTTCCTGGGCTAAGAAGAAGACCAAAACACCTGCAAAATAAGCACTGACATTAAATTGGTGAAAAGATAACACAAATGAATGTTTTAAAAAAAAATGTTACTAATGGAAAAAGGATACTTATTACAATTATCAATAAATTATTTTTTTCAAAATTAGTTCTTACTGTTTTATACTAATTTAGATAACTGAAGTTAGCACACTAACTGAAGATTTATATAAGCTATTACAAAGTAAATAAAGCAATCACCTCATTAACTAAAAGAACTGAGTATATGACTCTTCATTAGATTGATAAAAACCAAAATTGATACTTAAGCTGACCTTACTAAAAATGCTTACCTTTCAATAGCAAGTTCTTTATTAGTTGTTTGTTGCACATAGATAACTATCTTCTTATCAATTCCTTGGCGCAGTTTAAAACATTGTCTGTCCTTATCTTTGGGAACTGCACTGTAGACCAACATGTTTCATTAATTGTGCACAGTATTTTCTTGTCACATATACTAGAACTATTTTTTAAAGACAGACACCAAATCTCCGATTCTTTCCTGTAGCTGTTATTTGGTTTTCAAGTAACAATAGTAATAAAAGATATCTGTCTCTTAAATTGAAAATATTGTTTAACTTACCTCACTACATTTAATCCACAAAAGCATTTGTAAAAGCTAGAAAAACTACCTGAATGCCTCCTAAAACAAGACTTGTGTTTTCTCTTTTGTTGCTGTGAAAATTAAACAAGATACTTGTATTGCACCTAGCAAAAAGTAACCTTATTTAAGTTTATAATGACAAAACTATACTTAATCAAAGATCCCTTGAATTTCAATACAAGGTGTCTTTAGACACTAACAGAGATGAGGAAGCTATAGAGAACGGTGTTGTCTAAACGTTCTCTCACTTAAGCATTAATAACCTTATTAATAATTATAAAAATAATACTAACAATACAGTTAATGAACATTAACTTAATTAAAAAAGCTGAAAATACTCGTAAAATGTCAGTTTACTAAAATAATCCCCTAGCTTCCCACACACCATTTTCTCTAGCTCCTTTACTTTTAAAGGCAAACATGTCTGTGGTAGTCAGCCAATATGCAGCAAATTTAATTGTGTCATTTCTGTGTAACTTTAAAATGGCAGTGGCTACACTAAATCTCTAAGTACTAATACAAACTAAAACATGATTCTGAAGAAATAAAATTAAATTGTTTGAAGCTGATCAGCAGCACTTACACAGTAACCAATTCATGAACATTTTATAAGGTTTAGATGAGAAAATCAAAGAACACTAGCAAAGTAGTCTAGAAATGAAAAGAAGTGAGAGCCAGGGCAAGAACAGATATATGTACACCCATGTTCATCGCAGCACTATCTACAATAACAAAAAGATGGAAATAACCTAGGTCCCCACTAACAGAAGAACGGATAACCAAACTACGGTACATACACGCTATGAAATACTATGCAACCCTAAAGAATAACACAGAACTCTGCAAAGCACCACATAACGTGGATGAACTCGGAGGACATTATGCTGAGTGAAAAAAGTAATCACAGGACAAATATTCTATTAGTCCGTTATTGTAAAAAGTCAAGCAAAGGTTTATATATGAAAGGAAATTCTCTTTGTTGATTACCACGGGAGGGGAAGGGAGGGAATATTGTTAGAGTACTGATTTGAGTGAAGAGAAGGGCAATGTACCAAATGTAAGTGATCAACACAATGGTACTGAGGAAGAGGAAGACACAGAGAGGTGCATGGGAGGTACACACAACAAAGATGAACCCTTTTGTACATACAATACTGCATTGTCAGTGAAGGCAAACACTGATATACAAGTGGACAGGCTCAACTATTAGGTATGTCTATGCAGGGGGGAGTGTGCCCAAGACCATGTATAGGGTTGGCAGACAATGTTTCTACAACTGTATTGGTATGTTCTAAAAGAATTCCCAGGTATAACCATAGTCGCAGGGGACATCAAACTCAATTGGCATAACATACTATACAAAACATTGTTCCACCTACTACTTTGGCGAGTAGCGACTGGGACC